ATACTGTTCTAGATGAAAGGAATAAGGCAATAAATACAAACCATAAAGGAACTTATTTTTAAGAGAGTGTTAGAAAATAAACAAGTAAGTTTGTAATAAAAATAGGATATAAGTTCTATTAAGGAAAGTTAAGCTTGGGGTGCCTGGGTGGCCCAGTCGTTAAGCATCTGCCTTTGGCTCAGGTCATGGTCTCAGGTTTCTGGGATCGAGCTCCGCATCAGGCTCCCTGCTCTGCAGGTAGCCTACTTCTCCCTCCCCCACTTCCGCTGCTTGTGTTCACTCTCTCTCTGTGTCTCTCTCTGTCAAATAAATAAATAAAATCTTTAAAAAAAAAAAAGAAAGTTAAGTTCTACCATGGAGATTTAAAGTGAGTGAAGCAACCAACCAGTACCTCAACCTGCTCCTTCTTAAAAGACTCACATGCTTAGATGTTGGCATAGAGCCTTTCCTTCTGGGTCAAGATGGACTTCTGAGAGTGGCAGCCAGCTCAGCCCTGTGGGTGTGTCAGTCCAGTACCACTCCTGGAGCTGGTTGTGCATGGCCTGCTTCTCTGTGATGGTGGTAGTGCTGGGGGGTGTCATAGTGCTCTTTGGCATTGTCCCTGGACACTGACAGAACATTCCTTCTCTCCTCTTCCCTGTAGCCCCTGGCACAGGTGATGTTCAAGAGCATGCAGGATCCATCATGGCACCAGTGTACTGCTGGGTTTCCAGCAGGTGCAGGTCTTGGTTTCTGGGGATGAGGCCTTTCTTCAGAGCCTAGAAAGGAAAGGCTCTGCCCAGAGTAAGAGGCCCTGTAACCTGTCACAGCCTCTTTTGCCGAGAATAGCTTCTCATGCTGTTCTGGTTCCACCAATCTGTCCTGCACTACCTTGTCTATAGTCATATCAGCATTCATGTTGGGGTCAATAGAATGCCTGATCCTCACCTGCACTTACAGCAAATCCTCAATCATCTGCAGCAGGTCTTTCTTCAAGGTAGCATAGATGCTCAGTTGTTACCCTGTTCCCTTCAGTCAGGTGTCTTTGATGACAGCATGCTGCATGTCCATGTTAGACACTCGTCACATCAAGCTACAGCCACAGGCCCTCAAAGCAAAGCTGCGTTTTTGCTAATGTTCCTCAACCGGTGATAACAAAAACAATAACTCAAATGAAGTGTCTATTGAACATCAGCTTTCCCTAGTGGCTGATAATTTGTGGGAATTATAAAAGACAGAAGCAAAATAAGTAACAAACACAACAAAACAAGCACACATTTCCCTCCTCTAAAGGGGCAAACGCATATACCCTTTCCTCCTCTTAGAAAGAGTCATTCAAAGAAAATCATCCAGTTTTAAACTATTTACCTTTGAAAAAGACAAGGTATTAAAGCAAAATTTAAAGAAAAAACAACAGAAAAATCTTTTTTTTAGAATTAGAAATACTTTCTATTATTTTTTTATGATGTTGTTTCTTCAAGCATAGGAGCAAACACAGTATGAATTTGAATGTCCGTATGGAAAGACCTGAAAAATAAAGAGAATAGTAACAACAACCAAAAAAAAATATTAATGACAGAACATTTTTTATTTAAGTTTTTCCAAAGTAATGAATACTTCACAATCTCAAGACACTGAAAGTCTAGTATTACCTTCTTTTAACTGCATTTTCTCTACAACTGAAGTATTTATAATTTATAGCACAGATTCAATTTTGAAAATGGAAACTGAATTCTAAGGAGTTTTATGCAACGAAGGAAGGTGGATTTTCAAGCTGAAAAAATATATATTAAAAAGATGAGAGAAATAAAACATTCTACACTTTATGAGTTTGACAGAAAAGCAGAATCAAACATATCCCATTGCAATCTAAGTAAAATGTATTGTTGTGGAATCCCAAGAAATATTCTCCACAACTCTGCAAAAGAAGAAAGACAGTTGTCACAGCATGTCTCAAATGCAAAATTTAAGGGTGATAAAGAACACATGAATTGGGTTAGTAAAAGCTGAGGATGAGAACAAGTTCTTACAGGAGATCATGGCTCAGTCATCTGAGTTGCTCTCTTTATGTGGACCAGATCCTTTGTTTTCAAGTGGCAGAATTCCTTAAATTCATGTTATCAAATAAGGAAAATTATTTTATGTAGATGAAATGAAAGTTCTAGGAATGGATATCTCATACAGCTAAATCTTGGTGCTCAAACTATTTAGGACCCTGTGTTTATTCTTTTTGTGGTCTCACTCTGATTTCTTTACATTGGCTTGATTCTCAAATATTCTCGTATTGTTCAATGCCAGAATAACTACTAATGTGCCAGACCCACCTCGTATCAGCTTACCAAATCTAGAATTCAGAGAGTTTGTCTCTTTGAACCAACCATCATTTATACAAACTTGAGTTAATAATTGTGGACACAGGGATGTAATGCAAATTGGGCTGGCTTGGATCTTGCATTGTTTTTAAGAACTACATGTGTAGGGTTAGTCTAGTCATTCCTAAAACACATGGGCCTAGAGTTGGGAAAGGTTACCCCCTTCCCCCTTCCAACTTGGATGCTATGCTAGAAGATATAGATATTTGGGAATAAGAAGTAAAAACAAAACAGCTATTACTAACTATACTTCCCTGTCTCTAGTGGAAATACTATACAGTAGATAATATTTCTTATGGGGCACCTGGGTGACTCAGTTGGTTAAGCATCTGCCTTCTGCTCAGGGTCCTGGGATCGAGTCCTGCATCGGGCTCCCTGATCAGTGGGGAAGTCTTCCTCTCCCTCTCCATCTGCCTCTCTACCTGCTCATGTTCTCTCTTGCTCTCTCTCTCTCAAATAAATATTTTTTAAAAAAGAAAATGGGATTGAGTCCCACATCAGGCTCCTTGCTCTGCAGGGAGCCTGCTTCTCCCTCTCCTCCCCACTTGTGGTCTCTCTCACTATCTCTGTCTCTCTCTCTCAAATAAGTGAATAAAATCTAAAAAGAAAATTAAAAAAATATCTCTTAGTTTTTACAGAATGTAACTGTACCGATTACAAACTAGTCTTTCTTTAGCGATACACACAAGTATGTGCGTGTGTAAATGTCAGAATAGGTCTTTCAATAGACGATTACTTAACTTGAAAATATTACTAAAATGATGAATAATTAAGGATTAATAAATTTTATTAACCAATTAATACTTGTATGCACTGGAGAAAATAAGTAAGCATAAATGAAATCCTGGGCCTTTCCATCCCTACCTATTCCCACTCATGCCTAAAATCATTATGCATACTGCACCATGATTAAAGTTCTACACCACCTATCTGAACCAGTAGCTTAGCAAAATACTTTGTAAGGAGAATGAAACATGAAAATTTCAAGGGCAGAGTAAAGTAAATATCAAGCAATCAGAAAGCAACTTTTTAACAAAGAAAACATGCTAATTCCTCCTTGATAATTTTGCTTTGCTGATGCCTTTGAAAATTATTTTTCCAAATATTTCCTTTCAAAAATTGCCCTCATAATACTTCAACCACTCAAAATCAAATGTTGCTTGCCATTGTCTGCTTTCCTTAAGAGAACTGGTAGATATGTGGATGATGTTGCAAATAAAGAACCACAACAAGAAACAGTAAAGAGGTTTTTTTTTTCTCTCCTTGCTCACCTCAAAATGTCAGCACTGTCTGTTTTAAGAGCTGACGCAGCACCTTAAAAATATTCATTTTGTTGTTTTTTAGTTCTTTTGGCACTTTGCGAAAAAGAGTACATTTAGGCCTTTCAGAAGAAAACTGACTATTTTGATGTTTACTTCTCATTTTTACATTGCTGGCATTTTATAGGTAATTTAAAATAAAAATTGGCTAGGGCGCCTGGGTGGCTCAGTCGTTAAGTGTCTGCCTTCGGCTCAGGTCATGATCCCAGAGTCCTGGGATCGGGTTCCGCATCGGGCTCCCTGCTCCTTGGGAGCCTGCTTCTCCCTCTGCCTCTCTCTCTCTCTCTCTCTCTCTCACATGAATAAATAAAAATCTTTAAAATAAAATAAAATAAAATAAAAATTGGCTAAACAAATTTATTCTGTTTAATATCTCTACCATATTTGTTTCTTTTTTTGGCAATTTACTTATTAAATTTATTTTCTTATAAAATTATGTATTTCTCTGGGCAGACAGCCTTCACTTTATTGCACTAATAGCACATGTGTAATACCAAGCTACAGGATAAGTTTTAACAAGAGGTTTGTATTCTTCAATATAGCAGTTGTCTACCAGGCACTTTAGAGAGGAGGATGAAGAAAAGCCAGGATCCCCTCAGGTGAGGAGTGGGGTGGGGGAGAGGGACAACTTGTATAGCCTTCTGACCCCTTCCGGGTTCTCTCTCAGGAAGGAGGAACGTGCAAAGCTTACATCTGGATTCTGGGAGCAGGGAAGAGTTGGAAGGCTGAGAAGCCCAATGCAATACTGCAGCTCAACCCCCTTCATTTTTGAGAGAAGCAGGAACTCCTTTCATTCATTTGTAACAAATCACTCTGGCCTAGCTGATCTTTTGAGGAAACAGTGGGGATGGCGTCATCATCAGAATTAGCAGCCATACACTGCCACAGTGTGGTGGGTATCCTCCTAGCCCCCAGGAACCTGAAAGCTATGTATCCAAGGGAGAAGCCAGAGCTGGCTCTGGAAGTCTCCTGACGGCTCATTGTGCTCAGACATCCCTGTGACCATGTGAATTAGCAAAGCTCCGGTGCTGGATCTTCCAACCGTTGATCAAAGCTATAATGAGACTGTGTGTGTAGGCAGAGTGAAGGGAATGCCTGAGTAGAAGGGGAGGACTATCAGGGAAGGGAGCGATGGGCAGTGGACTGTAACATGATTAAGCCCTCCTTGCAGGTGGAGGCTGGGCTTCCAGGGAGTGGGGCATGGGGAGCTGCAAGCCCATGGATCTCTCCTCACTGCCTCTGTATTGGCTACTGAAGAGAAGTTGCTCACATAATCTAAAGCACATTCTTGATACAGGAAGAGGGGCTTTGGTTTTGGGCAAGAGCCATGTTAAGCCTTCATGAGGGCAGCCACCACAGCCTTGGTATTGAAACTGCATAGGTCACAGCAGGTCTGGCCAGTGCCCACAAAGACGATGGATTTGCTTATGGTGTAGGTCATAGAAATAGCAGCTCCCACCTTGTCATCAACGGTATCAAATTTGGTAAGGATACTGCCATCAATGAGCGGGGGTGTTTGAGCCCTAGAATGGTCAGGCAAGGCTCTGTTGAACTTGACCAGCTGGTCCACGGCCTCATTGCCTACTAAGGACTCCCCCACAAACTACAGCTAGTCAGGTGTATTGACAGTTATGAGCTTAGCCAGGGCGGTCATCAAAAGGGCATTGTCTTGCATGCGGCCAGCTGTGTCCACCAGCACCACATCAAGGCCTTGGTTACGTGCAAAAGCAGTCGCTTCCAGGGCAATGCCCGCAGTGTCCTTGCCGTAGCCCTTTTCAAACAACTGCACCATAGTGTGGGCGGCCACCGTGGTTCTCCGGGAGATGTAGGGCACTCGGGCACCGGGTGTGGGCATGCAGCTGCTCCAAGCCCCTGCACGAAATGTGTTGCAGGCAGCAATGAGGACACTGAAGCCATTCTCTAACACAGCTAGAAGGAAATCTTGGCAAGATTAGTAGACTTCCCCACTCCATTAATGCCACAGAAGGTGACAACATAAGGGCACTGATGACGCTGGGCATCCATAATATCCCAGAGCAAGTCTATACGATGCCATGGCTGCAGAATCTGCACCAGGGACTCTTGTAGGGCTTGCTTTACTGTGGAAGTCACCTTGCTGAATGTCCCCATCACCTTCCCTTCCAACTTGTTGGCCTCAGATTCACAGAGCTGGACCGCAATGCCTGCTTCCACATTCTTAGCAATGAGATGATCATGCATCTTATCCACCACAAACTCCACATCTTCACAACTCAAGCTCTTGGACCCCACAAGGCCCTTTAGCATCCCAAACATGCCACCCAGAGTTCCCTTGGTAGCACTAGGTTTGGTGGTGTTTTGAGCAGCCACTTCATCATCTGAGCTGCCGCAGTCCAAATCCTGAAGCTGCCCTCCACACCCAGTCCCTCAAATCAAGTTGATGTCCTCAGGTGGGGCAACCTCAGGGGCTCCACTGGTGGTGGGAAGGCTATAATCCAAGACTTCCTTGTTAGCACAGCCACCCAGTGCCCATACCCGGGGTGCATTTTTGCCCTTCTCCTTTGGAGCATCTGATTTCATGGGCTTGTTGGACTTCTCCAGACCTCTCCCATGCTTCTGAATGAACTTCTCTCGCTTCCTGTGTATGAGCTCCTCTTTGGAAAGTTCTACCCAATTCTCAGGCCCCACTGGGAAACCTGACTTTTCAGCAGGAACTGCTTTGCTGGTAGCCAAAGGGCCATCAAAACTCTCCTTCTTGCACCCCCCCTTTTTTTTTTTTTTTGCTGTTCTTTGCTTTTTTCTTGGGCTTTTCACCCCATGTCTCAATCATGGACCTCACAGGTTTCTTGGCCTTTTCAGAATCTTCAAATTTCTTCATGGTAGTGGGAGCATAAATCTTACTGCTCTCCTTTGCTTCACCAAGGAGCCACAGGAAGTAATTTTGGAAATCAAAAGTGCCATTCAATAGACTTAAAGCACTTTGCTGTTGGATCTCTGTGCAATACTTGCCCCAAAACAGCTGGTGCACATCATCTATCAATTTGTCTACATACGTCAGTGTTAGGATCTTCTGAAAACCAACCATGAACACCAGCTCAAACTGGTTGTCTAGTTTATACTTGAGTGTGAGTGCCTCATGGATGAAGGAGTTGTTACATCCCCTTTCCTGTAGCAGCACAGAACGAATCAACGCATTAATGGGCCAGGTGCGTGAGTCGCTCACGACCTGGAAGCACCAGAGGACAAGCCCGCCCTTGAAGAAAATGGTGAAGACGTCGAGCACGCCAGCAGCGGGAGAGGAGCCGGGCCGGCGCGGGGAACTCAGGCCACCATCGCCTCCACTTCCTGCTGCACCAAGCGCGGGACACGTCACACCAGCGGCCCTGGAAACTGGCTCAACCGCCCATATTTTAGTTTCTTTTCTTGTCGTGTCTTTCTTTCTTTTTCTTTCTTTTCTTTCTTTCTTTCTTTCTTTCTTTCTTTCTTTCTTTCTTTCTTTCTTTCTTTCTTTCTTTCTCTTCATTCCTTCCTTGCTTTTCCTTCCTTCCTTTTCTTTCTTTCCTCCCTTCTCTCCTTCTTCCTTCCCTTCTTTCATTTAATACAGAATATAGCTTGTTTACTCAGATCAACTGCAATTTCATCAAGTCTTCAAATATTTCCCATATACTTAAAATATGTTCAATGAGGAAAATAAGTAGATATCATCACTGAAAATTAAAAACTAACCAGCATAAGACTGACCTATGAAATATTCAGTGAAGTAAAATCCTATGTTCCAAGTCCATCTGCTCAGAAGTCATCTCTTCAAAATGTTGGAAAAGGCCTGCAGAAGAAAATTTACTGTGTACTATAAAAGGCTATGTGGGTAAGAACCAATGCAAGGCTTTATGTAGATCCAAATTCATTATTTAGCACATAAAACAAAACAAAATATAAAAATATTAATGGTGTCTAATATATTACTTACTTTAACAATGGTTTGTTAGGATTAGTAGAATGTATTGCTATACAAGTTAGAGCAAAGTACCAATCTAAAGGCTGTTAGTTAACATTTGAAGTGCTTTAATCAGGAATTCATATCCAAGGGGTTTTTGGTAAGCACCTGAAAGGCTCCAATCAGGACTCAATACTCTAAAGGTTATAGCAAATGACCTAAATGGTTTCATCTAACTTTACATAGAGGGTTCAGTAATTAGCATGAGTAATGTTATACATAATTTTTTGTTAGTGACATAAATTCAAGAAAAAATTTGCCTAGAAAATCTGTAGGGATCTTGTTATTCTTGTGTAAAAGAATATAAGAATTCAGCAGACCCTGCATCTTGGAACTTATTAAACTAATCTCAAGGTCAAAATTTCTGGTTGGTCTCATGTCTATCATCCTCCAGTCACTAAGGGAGGATTCCATTGTCTGGTCCCACCAGATATTTGCCTGGCCTGCCATCAGAATATGGTTCTTCTTGACTCAGAGTGAACTTCCTCACAAGGTACTTGTCAAAATGCCTGAGGAAAGAGAGCTGGGGCAATTTAGGAAAAACAGGTTAATAATGGGGATTTGTGCTTCTTTGCTAAGAATGCTTATACATGCATTGGTATCAATTTGAAACTTGCTTTCACTTAAGTTCATCACCTGGTTAAGGGGAGACATAATCCCATCTATATCTAATTGTGGGAAGTCATATGAAACTATTTCTTAATAGAATTAGACACTTGTTTAAAGGACAACTTTTCTTAGATACTCAAAATAATTTTACTTGCAGATTTGATTATTTAAAAGTGAATTATGTTTCAGGTATCATGCTAAGTGCTTTGTTTAAATCATCTCATTTAATCTTTTTAAAATTTGAAATGGTGTAGTATGTTACCTTGTGAAAGACAAAATGCAACAGAAAACAAGGAAAGGATTTTATCTAGGCTACTATGGTAGGGAAAACATTCATTAATGAAGAAAGTCTCAAAGGAAAGGAAGAGAGCCCTGGGGTTTTAGAGAGGTAGATAAACAAAGAAGTCATCCTTTATTATTATGGCAAGCATGAGGAAGAAAGAAGCATCTTCTCCAGGTCACTGAAGAAAGATAAAGATGGCTTTTATCTCAGAATATGCAGGGTACCATGACAGCCTTAAAGTTCCTTTCAGTTTAGCTATACTTTAGACCATTTGCTCCTTATCTCTAGGCCCTTGACCTCCTTTTTCTTAGATAATTTACTTTAGAAAACTTGCAATTCTAAATTCTTTTTCTCTATTGAGATATAAATCTTCTCTCAGATTTTGAAAAGCAGTCATCAAGAAAGAAAGGACCCCCAATCCCTAGTCTGGGTAGGATCCCAACTTAGATAAGCACCAATTAGCAAACACAACTAATCACATTGCTAACCTCTCCCTAAGGTCCTCCAATATTTTTCCACTAGCTCACTGGGCACTTAAAATCTCTCCTGCCTTTTATTTCAGTGGAGTTGATTTCAATTTCTCTCCCCTGTTGCAATAGTCTTGAATAAAGTCTTCCTTGCCTGATTAACTCCATCTGGTTCAATTTTTCTTGGACAAGGGCAAGGGCGCTCTTTTGGAACACAATAAGGTGGGGGGGAAAATTCTTAACTGTATCTTTTGCTGTTTTCCAGATAGCATAGCTCAGGGAAAATTAAACTTTGTGGAAATTTTTAGAGAAGTATGAAAAACAAAACAAAACAAAAACATAAAATTATGTAAGGGAAGATTTATTTGAATAGATTATAAAAATAAAGGGAGGGAAACTATTGCAATAGGGAGATAACTTCTACAAAAAGATCTATAAGTGTATCAAAGGCAGGAGTAAAAAGGCTAGAAAGATTTGGATGTACATAAGTGGAATGAATGGGATAAACAAATGGAGGTGACAGTGATCTGATAGCAGATCAAGAAGTTTTTACTCTGAGATCTAGAGAGAGGCCATTAAGGAAGGGTTCATGCTGGCCTAAACTGAGGGTGGGCCAAAGTTCAGAGCAAGGGGGAAGGAAAGAATCTTAACCAAAAATTAACAACTATTCTGTTCTAATTCATCAGTGAGGACAAAATAGTTCAGCTAATCATTTATGAAGCAAAGTTTGGAAATTTAGAGTTGCTTTGTCTGGTATTATTACAAGCAAACAAATGGGACATTAAGACTATCTAAATTATATGAGGAAGGATTGTGTTTTCCATTTGTTGTATCGTGGAATAACAAAAACAAAATGTGTGGGAGATTTCACAAACATTGTTTTCCAGGATAATGGCTTTGATAAAGTTCAACATTGTCAAAAGAAAAGTGAGAGAGGTTAATACTTGTTTAGAATCCTGCCAAAAGCTTATAGGTATTAAAGAGAATTGTGATATAAGCCCTAATCACCATCCTCTACTACTTCCTGATATTCAGGAAAGGTAGGTGAATGAAAAACAATCTGAAATTGACCATCAAAATAATCAAGATAACTAACTTGACTTTTGGTGGCATAGACACAATCTTAGAATCAGAGTAGTATATATTCAGTAACAAGTTCTTTTCCCATGCTTGAATGTCCACATATCTTTTAAGACATACCGCTTTTAATTTAGTATCATGCTGCTTGCATATGTGTCACTTTTCTTCTAGCAGAGTTTGAACTTTTCAAAATACAAACTTTGTCAAGTTTACTTTTATACCTATGCATAGTTTGTGTGACACTGAATGAGTAAAAACTCTTGAAAGGCCACAATAGGTAAGCCAGTTCTTGGACTTTGTGATTTCCCAAGATAGACAATACTACGGCCTCAGAAATCTGCCTACTTGTGTTTTGAGAAAGTAAAATTTTAGTTCTTTGAAGTCCTTAGCATATTTTCTATTGTTACTGTTGGGGAGGGAGATCTTCCTCTGCCCTATGGGCCTTCTAGCTTACTTAGAATCAAATTGACATGAGACAGATGAACAGGAGAAGATCAAATTTAGTAGACATAAGCATAGGGAGTCCACATGGACATTAGATTTGAAAAGACAGTGAGGCAACATGAAGCTTATCTGAGTTAAGGAGAGGGGCAGGGTCTGAAGATACAGGGTGGAGAAAGCTCATTAGCAAGGTGAAAAGGGATGTTTGGGGGAAGATAAGGTTGCTCTATTATGTAGATAAGTTTCTTCCCTAAAGGGGAGTCTCTGTTAATAGTTCTCTTCCTGTTGCAAGCTCTCCTTTCCAATGTAAAGTTAGGCCAGGATGGGAAGGCAGAAGGCTTTTCCTGCATCTGCTGCATTTTTTATTACCTTTAACTCAAAATAATCTTTATGCCAAAATGGCACATTTGGAGACATCTCATCCTGCAACCCTTCATTAGAGCTTGACATTATCAGAAGTTAATACCTTAAACACTTTTCCCAAACTAGATTTTGAGTTATCACAAATCAGAAATCATATCGTTTTCAGATGAAAATATTGGTCTTAACGCAAAGCACTTTACCTCAAAACTTCAATAAAGTCTCCAGCACAGTTATTTATTTATTTATTTATTTATTTATTTATTTATTTATTTATTTCCTGAAGTCACATTTTAGTTCTTTCTGCTTGGTGACAGTACAAAATCTTCAAAATTCTCAAGAGTCCTACACAACTTTTTTTTTTTTTTTTTTTTACCTTTCTTTGATGACTATCCTGCCTTTGCATCATCAAGAACATTGAGGCTATCTGATATTGTCTCCCTCAATTTTACATCTTCCTTCATCTTTGTGAACATCTACATTTACCCACACCTTTTCCTTTCATAAATCTCTATATCCCCTCGTCCTGAAAAATAAAAACAAAATTAAAAATAATGATATCTCCATTCATCCTCTATCCTTTCCACTCTATAATCACACCAATCCCTCTTTCCTTCAAGGGTTTTCTGAAAGTAATGAGGGAGGGAGGAAGTGAGGGAGCATAGAGAGAGGTGTGAAGAGCCCTAATCCCCAAACACATCACAATTTGCAAATCTGGAAAAGAAGAAAGATCTAGAGAATCTACTTTATATAAAATGGATACAACTTCAACAGGGATACTGAAAAATGTAAATTAAAAAAAATAAGAGCAAGACAAAGGAAGTAATAATGATAAAAATGGTTGCCAATCACTGAACCTTCATAGTGTACAAGATAGGCACCATGTTGAATCCTCAGCATATAATCATACAGGTAAGTCCTGGAAGTTAATTAGCAATATAATGTATAAAGCTTGGCCATACTGTTTCAGGATTTCTTTTCCTTCAGTGCCCACAGTTCTTGGTACACTGCTTCGAAGAATGAAGAGGTAGTCTAGACAAAGAGTGGTGGGCAGCAAAGCCAAGTTTATTGAGTGATAGTAAAGTTTATGATGTAGAAAAGACATTAGTGTTTGAAGCCAATGATCATGAAAGAATTCTTGAGATGTCTTTGGTGCAAAAAGGTGATTTTATTAAAGCATGAGGACAAGACCCATGGGCAGAAAGAGCTGCACTGGGGTCATGAAGAGTGGCTTATTATATACTTTCAAGTTGGGAGGGGGTTAGGGATAGCATAAATCTCTAAGGAATTTTGGAAGCAAAGTTTCCAGGACCTTGAGAGGGTTGTTATTATTGGGGAAAGGTCATTTATTACTGTCTAATAAAACCTTAGTCATGAGACCCTTCAGATGTATATCGGTGGGCCATATGCTTGGGAGATGATTGCTGACATGTATCTTGGGGGGGGGTTAGAGATAAAGGAAGTTTTCAGAGGAATTTTTATATGTTAAAGTAGACTTACAGGATCCTGGTGTGGGGGTTTGGGGTGAGGCTAGGATTGCCTTTTGCCCTTAGCAAAGTGTCAACATCAAGGCAGTTGAGTCCCTAGAGGAATGTCACTCTGCCTGTTTCAAGGACTTGTCAATGGACTCTAGGTAGTAAGGAAAGTTATTAATTTTTATTCTTCCTTTGTTTCCCACATCAGTTTATTGACTGACAGTATAAAGCTCCTGAAGAGGGAGGAGACCCAAGAGGGTTGTCCTTGCAGTTTCTAAGTCTTGGGGTTTTTATTAGATTGTTGGTGGGCTGCTTCAATCTAATTAACACTCCATGTGCCTGTCACCGATTCAGGTTTTCATCCAAGCACTCATCTACCTATGAGGTAGTTGTTTACATGGGAAAGGATGGAGGACTCCTTTCAGGGTGGTATAGAATAACAGGATGGGGTCCTTTTCCTTTTAAGGGTAGTTTCCTCTTAGGATGGGCGTGCCCCTCGTCCCTGCCTGCCTTTCTTCTAACTATCCTCCGTTAACAGTTTTCTCTAACTGTAACTGTGGGAGATAGAGGAGAAAATAAAAAAAATAAATAAAATAGGCTGTTCTCCCCTCCCAGAGACCATAAACTATTTGAGAGATAGACCTAACATTTATGAAACAAATACAGAAACAGATATGAACTTAAATGGTTCATTGCTGAATTTCACAGGGGCAGATTTCAATCTCTAAAGGGTATTGGAGAATGAGGCATCAAGTAGAGTAGCCACAAATAATTCCAACGGAAATGAGAAAAAAGATCCTGAAAAGTCAGAGTGATTTAAAACAGTTAAGTGAAGAGGGGATTCTAAACAAATGTAAAACTTGAGCATTAGAATAGAAGCTGAAATGACTAGAATCCACCATCTTTGTGCAGAGGGACAGAGTTCCTAGAGCTAAGGAAACTGGTTGGAAAGTAAGAAATAAATATGAACAGTTTGGGTAGGACCAGACTGCAAAGAAGTTAAACATTCACATAACATTTGTTCTTTATGAAAGTCAGGCAAAACCTAAGACTTGCAAACTTGTTTTCAGACAAGCTAGAAACTAACTAATTTCAATTAGAAATAGTGCCAAGATATGAGTCATAGATTTTCAATAAAATATGGTTGGAAAATAACAAATGGAAAGAGTTCAGAACACAATTTTCTGAACTTATCATGATAAAAGGAACATCAGGAAGGCTTTTTTATTTAAGAAATCAGAGTTTGATGCCTTTATTACTTACCAAATAAGTACAGTACATTTTTCATAAAATCTAACTTAATTATAAATTGTTTGAAGTTTTAGTACACAATAGTCCCTGCACACACCAATATGGAATTTCATTATGTGTTATATAAAAAAGTATTAAGTCTTTGTTATTTTCCACTTATATAAAATAAGAAAACTAAAAATACTTTTGAACTTCTTTGGTCATATTTACTTACCTTTATTTTAAAGGAACATGAAAGAAAATTATTGGGGTATGTCTAATAAATTTTACCAGTGGGGAGAAAATCAACGAACCAAACATAAAACAAAATATTTGAGAAATTTGATATTTAAATTATGTTTAAATTTAAATTATGTTTAAAACTTTTGAAATACTTAAAATTATTTCTATATATCAAGGAACCTAACCAAAATTGGGTGTAGAAATAAACCTGGAAAAAATTTTAAAAATATGTTATTTTTTCAAAATAAATTTAGTGCTTATAACTAAATTCTCAACAAATTGTAAAACTGACACACTATGTTAATTCTTAATGTGGCCATTACATATTTTCTATAAATTAAATGTATTATGTTTTTAGAAGAAAACAGTCTTTTTGAATGGTGGTGGGAAAGGGATATGAAATAGGGATGAGGAGAGGACTCTTACATGCAAATGTTAATTACCATTTTTGTGTGATGAGTTTATGGGATCAGTAATAATACTACAATTTCATTACAATGAAGAGAGTTTCAGAGAAGCTATTTAAATTGACCAACATGAAGGGTGCCTGGGTGGCACAGTCAGTTAAGAGACTGACTCTTGATTTTAGCTCAGGATGTGATCTCAAGGTCTTAAGATCGAGCCCTGTGTGGAGCTCTGCACTTAGCAGGGAGTGTGCTGGAGATTCCCTCCCTTTCCTTCTGCCCTTCCCCACCCTATGTGCTCTCTCACTCTAAAAATAAAAAAATCTTTAAAAAATAAAAAGTAAATTTACCAAAATGATAAATCTAGGAGGTATAAGAACTGTATGATATTATAATTTCTGTGCTAAACTGCTCCTTTAACATAGCATTTTAAAAACAGTCGTATTAACAAAGTACATGTCAAAGAACATTTAACACAAAAGATGAGTTCATAATTAACATTTCATATAGACCATTTCCATATGTTTTAATGCAGGTTAGATACAGCCACAAATCCAAGCTCTAGAAACCATACTGAATTATCTCAGAGACTACAAGCTGAGTCATTAGAATCTTTTCTGTTTTTCGTAAGTGCAGATGAATACCTTGTATTTCATAATTTATATGTTTTTCTGATATTTTGTATTTCCTAGCATAAATCCCCTTAAACACACACACACACACACACACACACACACAAGCAAAAAAAAAAAATCCAGCATCCTTTGGACTGCTTAGATTTGCATTAATTCTTTGTCAATCAACAATAAAGAATTTCACTGAAATCTGACAACAAGAATTCAAAAATCTGTTCCCTTCAACAGTTTTCTCTTCCTCAGGTAAAATGTTGATTGTCTTGCTTATTTGTAGGAAAGGAGAAAGAGTTGAGGGAGTTAAAAGGATTTTATGAGTTAAGATTTGGCTCCAACTTAAGCCAGGGGATTTTGTGGGTGGATACATTTGGGAGTCTAGATAATTAGAAATTGGGAGTAAAGATTTTTCTCTAGAAGTTCATAACAGACAAAAATCTGAAATGTCAGCAGTTATTTATCATTGAGTACACAGGAGAATTTGCACAATGTCTACAATTACTGTCTATTGAATACTTTTTTTTCAACTTTCTAGAATTAAATGTTTACCAATATTTTACAAATAAAAAAAGGCCTGTTTTCAATATAATTTATCCACTCAGCTTTTTTTTTTTTTTTTATTAACATAGGACCATTCAATCTGACATATGTCAGGGGCAATTAGCAATCCTCTGCTAACAGAGTACCTGCCCTACTTAGCAGGCATTTCTTGTTCCTCATTAACCAAATTATGTTCAGGTCATATATCATATTGCTGACAATAATGCCACTTTCATGCTTAATTGGTTAAGTAAATGTGTAATTATGGAACTATGTTGAAATACTACTGTAAATTATCGTAACCACAGCATTTGCCTGATGTAGATTGGGATGTTATTTGATCTACTGTAAGATTTAATAACACTAAAACTTAATGTAACATTTGTTCAATATCAGTGAAGATACTCCAGATGTTATTAACATTTTAGATAAAATGTTCAAAAACTAAGTGAACATTTTGAATATTCTAAAAAATGAAGGCATAGTATTTTTTATGAAAAATATTATCTCTGGTATTAAGCCCAGAAAAACAAACTGATAATTTGTTTCTAACTTGACATATGGTAATTAGTAGAATTTATATTTTGCTATGGGATATTTACAGTAATGACTACATTCTCAGAATACTTTTGGATCACAGCAAATATTGGCTCATTGAGAATCAAAAAAATCATGTTAGAGGAAAATGAAAGATATTAATAGTTGTCTTAAAAATTCTTGCTCTAACTTTTTTTCTTCTAACTAGCACTTTCCTAATGAGTGCTCACAAAATGAGACTTTGACATAAATTACCAAAAAGTTCTTAAAACCTCCCTAAAATGAAAATAAATGACATATGGCAAAATGTTGACATGGTAAACATTTAAATGTGTTCACTTTTAAAATAAAGAACTTTTAAAATATTAGATATCAAGTCTTTCCTAAATACCAGATGTATTACTAAGGATTAGATTTGGTTGCATTTAGCAATAAATAAATGAATAAAATAAAAAAATAAAAATCACAGTGGCTTTAGTAAGTTGGAAGTGTATTTTCTATTCACTGAACGCAGCCTGGAGGTAAGTAGTCCAGGGCTGGTATTGAAGCTCCACAATTACCAGGAACACAGATTAATTATTTTACCTCTTCTATCATTATAGATTAAGGGGTCAAAGAGAGGGAAACTTTTTCTCAAGGTAAATAATTTAGGCTTTGTAGGCCACATAGGTCCATTATGACTAATGAAAATCAACTCTGCTTCAGTAAGAAAAAGTAACTTTGCCATTGTAGCATGAGGGTAGGTTTGGACAATACCCACTGTTCAATAGGTCTGACTGTATTTCAAAAAGACTATATAAACAAAAAATGGTGGTGGGCTAGATTTGGCCCATAAGTCATAGTATTGCAAGCTGTTTTATAGGATGTGTCTTTCATCTTCAAGGTAAACACATGATGCAAGAAAGCTGTTAGAACTATAGACATAATGTTCATGGTAGAAGCCAGAAGAACCCCAAATGGTCGAAGAAGGGCCAATGGGACAAAACCTGACAGTCTATGCTAATGAGATGACCCAGAATGGAGGCTGTCCATAAAGACCAAACATGTGATTAGAGGGTTAGGACTTTGACCTCCAGGGAGAGGAGAGGACTGGGGACTGAATTCAACCATATGGACAATAATTCAATCAACCTTGCCTATTAAATAAACCTCAGTAAAAACTCTGGACACTGAAACTTGCATAAGCTTCCTTGGTTGGCAATACTCTGCATATTGTTACACACTGATGTATCAGGAGGCTCACAATTCTTGAGGACATCTTCCTTCAAAAGACTAGCAGAACCAATTCCATTATTATTCACTTTTCGGATTGGCTCAGTTATATCACAGTAACAGGAAGACTACATGATCATCCAACAACTCCTGCCATCTGCCTCTCCTTGTAAGTCAGCTGAAAAAGTAAGAAATCCCTCATCTTCCTACCACCATGTCTAAAATCCACTTCTGCCTATACTCATAGCCTCTATGTTCCTTTGTATTACAAAAGAAAGATAAAGAGTCTTTCCTTTTTTTTTAAGATTTATTTATTTAGTTAGTTAGTTAGTTTAGAGAGAGAGAGAGTGAGCACATGAGTGGGGGAGGGGCGGGGGGGAGGGAGAGAGAGAATGTCAAGCACTCCATGAGTGCAGAGCCTGATGCAGGGCTCAATCCCACAACCCAGAGATCATGACCTGAACCAAAATCAAGAGTCGGGCACCTAACCAATTGAGCCACCCAGGTGCCCCCAAAGTCTTTCCTTTAATTAAAAAAAAAAAAATAAATCTTCATCACTTGTAACTTGACAACAACTTTGTTTGCAATTAATATATGTTATCTCTTTATTACAGTAATATTCCTCCAGCATGCAAATATCCTCTACTATCTCCTATTAGACAAAATAAAAGTTAATGAAACCTTGAATTTCAAGCTAATATGCTACTCCAATTATTGCCCCAATCCTCTGGTACTCTTCTTAGTAAATCTTCTTAATGTATTTGCCTGGACTTGTTGCTGGCATTTCTTTCATCCCGCTTTACTGTGGCTTCCATTCCTATTAGTTTATCAAACTGCTCTTGGTAGCATCATCATTGATCTCCATTATGCCAAAAGTAACGATAACTGTTCTTCTCATCTATCTGAAATTTTATCAGCCCTTGACAGTATTGACCAAATCCTTATCTCTTGAATGAGATACCATACATTTCTTCTTTTTCTCTAATTTCACTCATCTCTTTGCTTAGTTTCCACTGCTGCTGTCTCTTCCTTGTTTACTTATTCTGTGGATGCAAGAGAAATCCCAATAATTGTAATTGGTTGTGAATATCTTCTAATACATATATATATATATTTTTTTATTATTTTATTTTATTTATTTATTTTTTAACTAGAGAGTTTCATCCAAGACTCTGACTTTGGATACAATCCCAGGACAGAATAATCACCAAACTTCAGCTGTAGCTCTGACTCCTCTCCTGAACTTGAACATCATTCTAAGCTTCCTATTTACAATCTTCATTTATAGGTCTCACAGACATCTTAAACTTTGCATATACAAAAACAGAATTTTTAATAACCCCACAACTAAAGCCTTTTTTTATTCTTGCTTTCCTTCACCTCTCACATCCAATCTATTACCAAGTTCTACTGAAATCATATACAAAATGTTGAATGTTTCCAATTCTTCCTTATCTCCACTGCCACTACTATTGTCCAAGCTGCTTTTATCTCTAGTCTTTGTCCTAAAATAGACTCCCGTTTGTGTGTGTATGTGTGTGTGTGTGTGTGTCTTCATTTAGAAGGCTGGCATAGCTTATTAGTGAGGGTTTAGTTATAGAATATAACTAGATCAAGCATTGGGTTAAAATTGACTTGCAGATTCATTTAGTCCAAGCAGATACCCTATATAAAGCCCCCAGGAATGACTTGTAGAATCTCGCCTCAGAAGCACATCCCAAGGGAGCTTATTATACTGATAAGATCAGGATGTTATCTGTGGAAAGTGGAAGTACCACTACAATGGTTGGCTTCAGAATCATACCATTTTGGTATGATCTGCAAAGTGGAGAAGCCACATCCACAGCTTCTGGTAGCACTGCTATGCTAAACACCTAGATAATAAATGGCTCATGCCCTGTTTCTCTACCCACTGGATTTATTTCCAGATCAAGACCTACACAATTATATCAAAATTACATTTAGATAAGGGAATCATAAAATTTGGCTATTGGTTTTATAAACTCTGCAATACAAAAATGGCATAGTAGGAAGAAGTCAAAATGAGTGAGTTAATCCAACTCATCTGTCCAAAATAGCCCCAAAGCACTGTTATTTCTGTCCCAGGGCCTTAGTTTTCATTGAAAAATCTCTTATAATTTTTATTTACTGTCCTTCTATTTTTCTCCCTCTAGTTTCCATGACTCAAATGAGAATCTAATATGGGTTTGAGTAGGAAAAATGTAATTGAGTGTGAAACAGTATGCATTAAGTACACCCTTTCCTTCCAACAACTTAGAGGTTTGATATGTTAAGATTGGAATGAATTATTTCATAGGAGGATTACCCCTTCTCCAAGTGAATTCTCATCAAGTTGCCCAGATCTACAATTTTATCCACTAAAGTTTAAATATCACAATAAAGATTTAGGCAGCATTCAGGGAGTAGTCCCCAAAAGGCTGCCCCGACTTTAGACACCATCTGCAAATATAGGGTTTTCCAAGACCACCCTCTTTCAGACTAGCTGACTACAAATCCAAAGTTTCCCATAGTAACTCTCACTTTCAATAATTCACTGGAACAACTCAAGGAGTTGAGAAAAGTGTTATACCTCTAATTGTAGGGTTCAAATTTGAATTGGCCAAAGAAAAGAAAACACATAGGGTAAAGTCTGATCGGGTTCAAAGGAAAATCTCTCATGTCCTCAAGAATGTGTTACCCTTCTGTCATTCATGTATGACAAGATGCATGAAGTACTACCAACTCAGAAACTCATTTGAACTTTGGTCTCCTTAGTTTTTACTGGGTCTTCACTAGATAGACACAATTAGTTGAATCTTGTGGTCGAACCAAAGTCCCCACCCTCCAATTACATGGATGATCTTTCTGTCATAGCCAGCTCCCAGCCTGAGTCACCTGATTAGCAAAAATGATCAGGTATGGTCCAGGAGCCCACCATAAATAACAAAGACACCCCTATAACTTGAGAAATTTCAAGGCTTTAGAGATTATCTCCTAGATCTGGGACACAGTGAAGAAGTCTCTTTGGGTACCGTTAATTCTTCACTACAGAACTTTATTTTCTGCAAAGTCCTTCCTGACTTCCTGTTCTTATTCCTTAGGAGAATTAACCATGTCCTTCTCTCTGCTACCAAAGCATATTATTTCATTTTCTTATAGTAAACAAACTCTTACAAACCAAAGTTTAATAGTTTCAGGTTCCTGTCTCTCTCTCCCCTGCCAGATGGTGGGTTCCTAGAGAACAAGAACTGGTCCACCGTGATATTCTCAGAACCTAAAAATGATACTTGGCACATAAAGGAATCTCTTTTTCTTTTTCTCATTATCTTTCTCTCACACACACACACACACACACACACACACACACACACACACATATGGAAGAATGTAGGCTGATCCAAGTAATTTCATCACTCCCACATACATGATTAAAATAAAATCCTAAAAAAGTAAGCCTTGTTAATAGGCAATTATAAATTATATCCTTATATATAAAAAGGATAACATGTTCTTTGGCTGCTAACCATACCCAAAAATATCTACAAAGAATTATTTATTTCTCTATTTTGAGCATTTAAAATTGATATCTCCCATTTTACTGACAATGTTGATGAAATGAAGCACCGGTATGGAAAAAGGGAAGAGAAAGTGCATGCATCTGGTGGCCCAGTGATACCAGGACTACATGACCAGTTCACATTGTGAAAGAGGCCCTGAAGCTTCTAAAATGGATATAAATTTCTTTCCCAAAGCCCCCTAAGCATAGTGCCTTCCTTTCAAAGCATAATTTGACCAGGATAATTGACTTACTGGCAGTGAGTTTTGATCTAAAAATTGAGTAAGCTCTTCCTTAATTGACTTTAATATAGTTGTAAAACAGGAAGGTAAAAGCTTTCTTTCAAGAAGACTTGCAAAAGTACTAATGCAGTAAATAGCATATTTGATGCTTCTATTAAAGCTCTTTGCTTAAATGGAAATTGACTATATAACTATGTTTTCACAGTCTGAGCTTTTTAACATTTGAGTAGTAACATGGGTAATAAGATTCTGCATATTGAGGTTTTATGGAAATAGAACACTTTCAGTTCAAACACTAGAATTTCTATAAATGGGAATTTAATTACACTAAGATTATGCCAACAACTTTTATAGTTTTTGTGACTATAGCAAAAACAATCTCTACCTAATGTTACAAGGAAACTCAAATCTAAGTACAGATATCTAAAGGCAAGCTAAGAAAGTCTGATGTTTTAATCATTATAAAAGAGTTAAGACTTACATATAATATAAAATTAGAATTCATTCATTATAATACATTTTAAATTCTGCTTCACATTTTTCTTGCTTTCAAGATTTCATATTATCTAAAATCGATCATTTTATATAAAAAGGGTAAGAATCAGTCTCTGAGCTAAACTCTGCCCCTCCATGTTCATATTTTGAAGCTTTAACCCCCAATATGACTGTATGTGGAGATAGGACTTTTAGGTGGTAATCAAGGTTTATGTGAGGTCATAAAGATAGGTTGTAATCCCTAGGCTTGGAGACCTTATAATAAGAGGAAGAGAGATAGATAACTTCCTTTCTCTGTCTCTCTGTTTTTATTTCTCTCCCCTCCTGCATGCTCCAAGGAAAGACCATGTGAGGACATGGAAGACAGCTGTCTACAAGCCAAGAAGAGGATACTCACCAGTAATCAAACTGTCTGGCACCTTGATCTTAAACTTTTCAGTCTCCAGAATTCCAGAATTGTGAGGAAAAAAACCTTGTACTTCTCAAGCCATCCAGTGTATGGCATTTTGTTATGCAACCCAAGCTGATTAAGTCAGTTGCAAAGTAATACAGACTATTATTCATATTTTACACAAAATGCTAGTTATTTAACTTCTTATTTAAAAGGGAAGCATAAGCATCTTTTAAAATATTTATTAAAATAGTAAACAGATAATACATTTTTCGTTCATTCATTCATTTTTTTTTTAAACGTGGGTTTAGTTCTGATGTGGGGTTATATCAGCCAAAGATTAGAGTACATAATATGATATATGACTTGGAAGAGCAGGAGGTCTTTAGGAAAACTGTAATATGGCTGAGTATTAGAATGTGCCCTTTCAATGCCAGGCAGACATGACTATGAAAAAACAAAAAACAAAAAACAAAACAGGAAAACATGTGAATAAGAGGCTCATAAGAAGATGATTTATAAATGCATTATCGTATTTAATTCTTATAAATAATCTTACAGAAGTAGTATGGGATAGTTCAATGAAGGCTTGAGACCACTTCTATTTATTAGGTGTGTGACCTGAAACAAGTTATCCAACCTTCACCTACCTCAGGTTCCTTGTCTGTTAAAATGGATTGATAAGGTTAACCTGCTTTTTATATATCCTGATTTTACAGAAATTCAATGTAACCTAATGTGTCAACTGCTTTTCAGCAGAGCACAAATTCCATATCAAATTCTTTTGAATCCAAACTTTCAAATTTCTACTCAAATAATTATTAGCCCTTATAGTTATTTCCTTTTCTATATAAGACCCAAACTTTTATAATTCAGACCTAGAAAGGTAACCCATACACTCACCATTAACATGTATTTCAGCAGGCTAGTTTAAGTTGAATTTCTTGAAATCTTGGCAATCAGAAAATAGTATCACTTGTATCAGTTTTGAGCAATGAGGATAAATACCTAGAATGTGTATGGAGGCAGCAGAGAGGATGATCTGACAGATTGGGAGAATCCTGAGACTGTAGGGTGAGGGAAAGGAAGAAAGAAGAGGAAAGATGCAAGAATGTGTGAGACTGAAGGAGGAATTTGCTAAAAAATTCGTGAGGTGGGTTTGCAAGCCAGACTTCTTTGGTCCAAATCCCTTCTGTTTAAACTTGTGGTGAAAATTTCATGAGCTCATATGGGCAAATTGTATAGCAACACGTATGGCAACATATTAACCAAATTATAGAGAATTTTTTTAAATGAGCGTGGAAAAGGAGGCCAAATTATTTTCTAGTATTATTGTGAAAAAAAAGTTTATTTTGCAAAAATAGCATTATGGGTTGAATTGTGTCTCCCCAAAAGATGTTACGTTAAATTCCTAAACCCCTGTACCTGTGAATGTGACCTAAAGATTTGGAAGTAGGGTCTTTGCAGATTTAATTATGATAAAACAGGGTCACTAGGGGGGCTTTTTATCCAATATGACTGGTATCTTATCCTTATACAATGTGGGAACTTTGGACACAGGAACATGCAGGGAAAATAGCATGTGAAAAGAGGTAGAGATTGGAGTAATTCATTTACAAATCAAGGAATGCCAGAGATTGCTGGTCCTCATCAGAAGATAGAAGAAAGGTAAGAGACACATCTTCTTTTGGAAATCTCAGAAGGAACCAACACTGCCAAAACTTTACTTTTCAACAAATAATAGCTTTCAGAACTGTGAAAGAATGGCTTTCATTGTTTTAAGCCTCTTAGTTTTAGATACTTTGTTAAAGAAACCCTAGGAAACTAATACACAAAGAACTAATGTTAATCACTAAGTTCTGATATGACTAATACTTTTTATTCCAAGACAGGATTTTATATGATTAATGCACCTTAAATATTTCAAAAAATGGCAAGTGCTGGATAATATCTTAATTGCAAATGCAGACGAGTACTATACTAATTTATAATATTTTGCTTTTGTTATCAACATATTGATTGACTGTATTTGGGTACTGTACATAGACTGCTCCAAATGAATGTATTCCTTCTTTGAATTAGAACAAAGATTCTGTCTGAGTTCTGACTCACTTTCCCAGATTGGTGCTATGGGTAGTGCATATGGGTGTATGGTAGTGTTTCCTGAAACAGAGTCATCTGGGATGTTATTTGAAAGTCTGTGTGTGTGTGTGTGTGTGTGTGTGTGTGTGTGTGTGTGTGTGTGT